TGCTACTACTACTACTACTACTACCACTACTACTTCGACTACTCCTACTACTACTACTGACTACTACTACTACTGACTACTACTACTACTACTACTACTACTACTGCTTCTACTACTACTACTACTACTGCAACAACAACAACTACTACTACTACTACTACTACTACTACTATTGCAACTATACACTACCACGACGACCACAAAAATAATCGTTCTCACAATCACCACTATGCTGTCGCCGTCATCGCCACCAAGGTCACCACCACTGCGAACGCCGCCACCACCGGAAAAGCAGAATGAAAAAAGCGACCCTGAAAGACACTGCAACCTACACCTAATTCGGGTTTAGGGTTTAGGGTTTACGGCCCTAAGCTTTGTCAGTTAGACCTTAAACCCTGAACCCTAAACCCTAAACCCCGAACCTAAACCCTATATCACAGAAACCTTACCTCTGGACCCTGAACCTCAGATCCTACTTCTCCAAGACCTCAACCGATGAAATCTCCTACTCTTCCACCGCATTCGCATTGCTTCAAAGGGCTTAAGTTTTCGGGGTGGGGCAGGGGTTGGGGGTTCGAGGGTTCTAGGGTTTAGGGTTTGTTCCGATAAACCCTGCAGCCCCTGAACCCTGAACTCGAACCCTACGCCCTAAGCCCTAAACCTCTAAACCTCTAAACCTCTAAACCCTAAACCCTAAACCCTAAACCCTAAACCCTAAACCCTAAACCCTAAACCCTAAACCCTAAGGTCTCCTGAACCCCCATGGTTGAAGGGCCTCCTAAAAGAGCCCCCCTAAACCTCAAGCAAACATCCGACTCAACCCCCCGAAGGCTCACTTATAGGAGCCCTGCTATAGTAACCCTTATAGACCCCGTAAAGAAACACCTATATAGTAACCCTTATAGGATCCCTTAAGCCCTAAACCCTAAACCCAAAGCCCTCAACCGTTAAAGGAATCCACTCCAAACCCCAAGACGCTCCAGGCTGATGTTGAGACTTCGAAGCTTTGCCTCGTCTTCGGGCTGGCAGGTTTAAGCTTCACCGCATGAGTTTGGGGCTTAGGGCGTTTAGGGTTTAAGGGCTTAGGGATTTTCAGCTTTAGGGATTTAGGGTTTAGGGGCTTAGGGATTTTCAACTTTAGGGATTTAGGGTTTAGGGTTTAAGGTTTAGGATTTAGGATTTCTGTAAGTATAGCGGCACCTTTTCTGTTAAGCGACGCCAGCCCGGATTGGGCTTACAGTTGAGGTTTGGCGTTTGACAGTTAATTCTAAGGGTCCTAAGGACCCAATAACAAGGTACTTTGGTGGCGGATAGTAGTTTTCTAGCTTAATATTAGGGAGGGTATATGATTATTCCCTTAGGGACAGGGCTTTGGGCTTAGGGTTTAGGAGAGCTCAGACCTACAGCGTTTTGGGTCTAAGGTGTGGGTTTGGGATGATTTGCGGGTCTAGGGCTTTGGGTTTAGGGCTTGGGGTTTAGGGTTTAGGGTTTAGGGTTCGGGGTTTAGGTTTTAGGGTCCTAAACCCTAAACCCTAAACCCTAAACCCTAAACCCTAAACCCTAAACCCTAAACCCTTGGGGCTTGTAGGGAACTGAGTTTTGGGGCTTTGTTCGGTTTAAGGGCCAGGAAGTCTCGGCACTAGGAATCTCAGTCCCAGCCTGCCGGCACTGGGCACTGTAAACGGGTATAGGGTAGGGTTTAGGGTTTAGGGTTTAGGGTTTAGGGTTTAGGGTTTAGGGTTTAGGGTTTAGGTTCTCGTTTCGATTTTTGTTTTGGTCTGTTGTGCCTCTTTGTTCAGGAGGGTTTGGGATTTGGTATTCAGGCTCCGGGCTGTTTAGAGTTTATGGCCTAGGCTAGGGCCTAGGGTTTATTGTAAGCCCTAAACCCAAAACAACCTCTTCTGGAACACAAGACGGAACCCATGATGGGTCTTTGACTTGACTCGGCCTGCTCCGGACGGTGCTTCCGGGCCTCATTGTCTGGGCCCTGCCTCTGACGTGGCAGCTTCGCTTAGCCTAAACCCTAAACCCTCAACCGCAAATCCTAAACCCTAAACTCTAAACCCTAAACTGTGCGCCGTAATTTCCCGGCAGACCCTGCAGCTGAACATCAGGCCTTCCCACCCAGGTGGTCCCCCCTCCACTTGGTTGTCTCACTAGGGTTTAGGGTTTAGGGTCATAAGTACAACACGATCTGTACACTAGGTTCTGCTTGGAAGTAAGCATCGGATTTCTGAAGACTCCACGGGAACACCGTGGGATGCTGCGAACGCTGCGAAAAAACGCGTGCGTCTCCAGATCTGAAGTCGGAGCATCGGTCCGTACCTCTGTGGGATCCTCAGAATTTCCACATGACACCAACCTAGATTTGAACTCTGGGTCATAATCTGGTTCTAGTCGTTCATGATAATTCTTTATTAGTAGCCACCCATTTCGATGGTAATGTAGGAGCCTTAATAATCAGAATAAGGTTTTGGGGTATATTATACTATAGTTATAATAAGGAACCCCCAAAATAGTATAGGTAATTATTAAGACCCCTATAGTAGGAACGTGGCCTGCATCAAGCAGCTCTTCTAGCTCGCCACCCTTGGCGTCGGGTGCTGATCGGGTTTAGGGTTTAGGGGTTTAGGGTTTAGGGTTTAGGGTTTAGGATTTGGGGTTTAGGGTTTTAGGGTTTCGGGTTTGGGGTTTAGGGTTTAGGGTCACCGTCAAACCCAAAACAAGAAGCCCGAATCACTAAAACCTGAACCCTAAAACCCTACACACTTGTAGAACCCTGATCGATGCCTTTGTCGGAACCCTTTTAAGAACCGTAAACCTTAAATGCCTAAAACCTATCTAGTAACCCCTATAGTGTAAGATCCCTTGGAGGAGCCCGTATAAAGTACCCTTAAAGATCCTAAATAGTAACCCTGAAAGATCCCTCGAAGGAGCTTTTATATAGCAACCCCTGTAGATCCTTTAAAGGATGTTTTACAGAGTAACCCTGGGAAAGATTCCAAAACCCGAAAGGCATCTCTAACCCTAAACCCTAAACCCCACACCCCTAAGCCCTAAATCCTAAATCCTAAATCCCACACCCCGCATCCCTAAAGCCTAAACCCCTAAACCCTAAACCCCAAACCCCAAACCCCACATCCCCAAACCCCTAAACCCTAAACCCTAAACCCCATACCCCTAAACCCCTAAACCCTAAACCCTGAAACCTAAAGCCCTAAAAGCGCTAAAACCCTAAACCCCAAAACCCTAAAGCCCTAAACCCTAAACCTTTGAAAAGCCCAAGGCATGCTCGAGGCCGGGGCCATGCCGATGGTGGCTCTGACGGGGCTCGAGTCACTTCGCTGGGCGGCGGGCGCGCCGAAGTTTCGGAGCCCCGGAGGGGTTGAGTTTGAGTAGAGGTTGAGGGGTTTAAGGGTTTAGGGGTTGAGGGGTTTCAGGGTTTAGGGGTTGAGGAGTTTCAGGGTTTAGGGTTGAGGGTTTAGGGGTTTAGGGTTTCAGGGTTTTGGGGTTGTGGGGTTGTAAGCTTGTGCAAGCCTTTTTGCGCAAGTTCTGAGTGTCCATGCCCTTGTTTCCACACTGGTTATGGAGTAGTCTTCTGCAAGGTTTTTCGGTGGTAAACCCCCCCCCCCCACCACAAGAATAAGGCATTCTCGATCCCGGTAAACTGTTGTAACCCTGCGCTGCGAGTGGCGGCTTGGACAGGGTCGCACCCTGCTTTGCTGCAATTCCCGACACGACGAGACATGAAAGGTGCGAGGCCCCGCAGAGTCAAAATCCCAAGCTCCGCCCTGCAGCCCAAATCCTTGCCCAGAAACTTCTCACCCGAATCGGTCCAAATCGTAATTCCGAGCTGCTTCAGAAGAAGCCAGACTAGGTTCCCCAGTCCGTTGTTAAAACCGAATAGTACCGAATAGTAGGGAAAAGGGTACCCTCGTTAGTAAGGGGCTATTGGGGCACCTAGCAGAAGCAAACATGAGAGAGGAGCACAAACACCACCGTGCTGGTTCTCGGTGGAAGAGACTTGCTGGCAAATGTTGACATTGTGGCATAAGATGGCTCTTACAGGATTGTTTGAAGGATGGATGTAGTATACTGGCTCACATCATCATTTATGGTATTTCTAGCCCTGATTACTGAGTCCCTTGATCCTTGAAGTAGCGCTCGGGTTCCGGAACAACCTGAAGCGGCTCACTAACCGCATTACGCTGATCGTGAGAATGCAGAAGAAACTGATGATCATGATGCGGTTGCCCTTGTTGCTAAACTCCATATCACAACTACTGTCACGTGTTGTATTGGTACCCAGTTTCCAGCATTTTGGGTTGGCTTTTAGGGGTGGATAAAACACAGTCCTACTCGTTGGTGCGTACATTATTTCCCTTATCTTCTGAGACTTCCCTGTTCTTTCTTGTCGATCTGAGGCGGTGGCACTGGCCATTTGGGCATTCAGCTAGCAAAGGCCGGGACACAACGCATGCAACCTCTCGACACTTCAGGCTAGCTACATACAGGGGGATGCTCGGAAAGTCGGGCATACCTTATTCAGGGATCCTCATTGTGGGTGGTTGTCAAAATTATGGTCCCTTTTTGGGTCCTTATTATAATACGGCACCTATTGTTTAGGGTACCCCAAAAGGGACCATAATTTTGACAACTACCCTCATAGTAAGAGCCCTGGCACATGTGGATATTTCTTTCCGAGCCAGGGTCCCTTAATTTCTGGAAGGGTGCAAGACAACCAAGCCCACTACATTTAATGCCGTTCCTTCGGGGGGTTAGGGCTTAAAGCTTAGAGCTGTCACGGTTAGGATTGCGTGCGGTTAGAATCGTTTTGAAGTACCACTTCGAAGAACAATAGTCCGGACTCCATGGGGCTGCCTTGAAGAACCCCCTCCCCCCCTGAAGGAAAAAACAAGTTTCAATTTGAATGTGGGAAACTTTAAGTCTTTCTTATGGTTTCTATAGAGGTACCTATTCATAAATACTTTTCAGGGCCCCCAAACTACAACCCAGAAAAGCAAGATCTGTCGAGCGTTTCGTGAGGCCATGGGAGCTGCCTGGGTCATCACCACCTGCTCGGACACGCACGCAAGCTTCTTGAGTGTTTGGGGGTTTAGGATTTAGGGGTTTAGGGTTTAGGGTTTAGGGCTTAGGGTTAGGACTTAGGTTAGTTCCCCAATACCCAGCCTTTAAATTTTTTTGGGTGCTTATAACTTAGTATAGCAACCTAAAAGTTTAGCCTTGAATTTTCCTGTCTTAAAGCCTATAAACCCTATAAACCCTAAACCCCTAAACCCCTAAACCCCTTAACCCTAAACCCCTAAACCCCTAAACCCCTAAACCCTAAACCTCTTATTGGGGAAGTAAGGCTTCGTCCGACAGCTGGGCGCGGATCAGGTCATCGAGCCTCGGACGGCGTACTATACTTGGGGTTCTAGGGTTTAGGGTTTAGGCCTGGTTGGCTCTTAGGACTTTAGCTTTTGGGATTTCTATAAGAATTTTAATAAGTAGGCTAGAAGATTAACTTTTAGGAGGGGTCAATAAAGGGGGGCGGAGGAATTACCGACCTATTCCTTAGGGCAAACTTTCTTGGAAAGATACACTCAGACCCCATTCCAACAAGAGAGGCCCTACACCCCGAACCCACAAATCCGCGCAGACTTCCAAGCCTGACACCTGCTTCCTCCTTCCGGCCCTGAAATTTAAGGTTTCAGGGTTTGGGGCTTAGGACTTAGAGATTAGGGGGAAATGTTATGCCTCGAGATTAGGGGAAATGTTATGCCTCTCTAACATATTATTTACAGAACCCACCAACATGTTATGTTCTACTTGTCCAGGGTTTAGAGTTTAGGGCTTGCGGCCCGGAAAGCCCTTAGAAAGGCCTATGAAGAAACACTGGAACAGCCCTACAAAAGACCCTTCGGCAGGGCAGGTGAATCACCAAAGAGGGTCATTGTAAACCCTCAACCTTACACCCGAATAACATCAAGGTTCGATCTTTCCATCCTTTGAACCAGTGGCCTGTAGCACCCGGCTGTAGAGAAGAAAGAAAGGTGCTGCCTTGCTTTAGGGTTTAGGGGTTTAGGGTTTAGTGTCTGGCAGAGTGCGCCCAGCCTAGCTTTCTGAGGATTACCACAAGCAGAACTACTATGATGTCCTCTTGCCGAAGTCCGTTGATGTGGTCTACGATTGTGTTGGCATGGATGGTACGGGAGACCATGCATATGGCATCATAAAGGAGCACGGCAGTTTCGTGACGTCCCAAGCTCAGAAGGGGGGATTCTTTTAGATGCCAAGTGCCGAAACCAGCGCCAGGTACGTAGATTAGCCTGATGACATGCACATGTGCTTTTGTTTATAATGTTGAAACTGATCTGAAAACATGGGGCCGTGGGCTTGCGAATTTAGGGATACAGTCCGATGCCGCTGTGGTGAGGCCCCAATCCCTAAACCCGCGGAACACCCCAAACCCTAAACCAAAAAAACCCAACCTCCCAAGCCCAAACACTAAACCCAAGATTTAGGGTTTAGCGACCCTAAACCCTAAACCCTGTGCCCTAAACCAGGCTACTGCAGGGAGGGAAGGCCTCGCTTTCGACGAGGATCCGTCGCCCAGACGTGCACCAATATGCGCCCACTTGCGTCGGAAGCTGTTCTGAACACACGAAGATTGATGCTGCCGCCTGGCATTCTCGGTTTTAGGGTGGTACGCTTTAGGTTTTGGGGTTTAGGGTTTCGGGTTTTGGTGCTCAAGCATCATCATTCGGGTTGTAGGTGGACGCGAATCTTTTTTAACAGCAGACATGCACCGGTCCGAATTGCAACCCATATTATTGTCTGCCAAATTGTGCGCGGCAGCTGTTTTTGCATTTAGGCAGAAAAGCCGAATACAATCATGTTGAAGCAGCCAACGCAGTCCATCCAGTCGCGGTGCAAATTAGCGGCAGTCCGCCGCAGTGGAGACCCAAAAGCCCGCATACATCTAACCTGCACCTTGAGGTTGCATCGATGGTGGATCAAGGCCAGTTGAAACTCGGCGGCATCTGCACACGGCCAAGCAACTTTAGCCCTTCATGGACTTGGGCTCCACTGTACTAGGCTTAGTATAGGGGCCTTCATAATTAGAATAAGGGTTTTGGGATATATTATACTATAACGATAGAAAGGAACGCCCAAAACAGCATTGGTAGTTATTTAGGCCCCTATACGACATCTTCCGAAGACCTTGCGCTTGCAGCGGGTTCAGGACTTGTGCTCTGTGAAATTAGGTACAGTAGACCACAAATTGAATTAATATAGTGGCCTAAATAATTACTATTTTGGCGGGTTCCTTATTACGTGTATAGTATAATGGAGCCCAAAACCCAATTCTACTTATTAAGGCCCCTACAGTAAGTCTACAACCTGAGCAATGACCGGCACTAACTATCCAAAGTATACTACGAGTCATTGAGCTAAATCTAAAGCCTGAACAAACAGCCAGAACCCTAAACGGGAACCAAAGCGCCGAGGAAAGTGCACATCGACCAGGTGTTTGGCTTGGAAGATATCGAATCTTGGCCGCCTTCGGATGGCTTGAGGGTCTAGGGTTTAGGGTTTCGGACGGTCCCAGGGTCCTGGTTTTAGCGGTTTTACGGTTTAGGGCCCGCGCCTGAGGTGAAAGCTTTCAATCAGTCGCTTTCCGGACACACCACCGGCAACTTGCCAAGCAAAGAGAAACCTAATATAGGGGCCTGAATACATACCACGATTATTTTTTGGGGGGTTCCGTAGTATAAGTATACTATAATGGGCCCCCAAAACCCAATTCTAGTTATTAAGGCCCTTACATTAAACTGAAGCGTTCGACTCCTTTCCCAAAGCTCAAGACACTTAAGCCGTAACTAGACCCGTCACGTCTGCTTGTAACCCGCATTCGAGTTCAGAGTTCAGAGTCTCCTCCCTAAGGTATCAGGTTTTGGGGTTCAACCGGGGTTTCGAGTTCAGGCTTTTTGTAGGGCTTCAGGCTTATGGTTTGACCTTAAAACTCTACGGGTAGAAAGAATCGCAATAATTTTGGGTGTTTGACAGTGCCGGAGCAGCTGTTTAGGGCGTAGCATCCTCGCAAAACCTGCAATTGAGTGGCAGAGGCCATCACTAACCCTCCCGAAGGCAAAGTAGCCGTGAAGATGGCGGCGGCAGGGTCAGAGGACCAGCTGTTGGCTTGAGCGCGGCATGAAAAGGGCCGTCCGATGCGGCCTGCATGTGCGTTCCGGGGCTTGGGGTTTAGGGCATTTGTCGAAAAGGGATCTGTAAGGTTTTCTAGTGTGTCGATACGGGCTTAAGTATCTACTATGTACCGATTTGTGCTATGGTTTAGTTCCTTTTGTTGGTTTAATATGCAACTCGAACTATGCAGGGCTGCTGAAATCGACACCCAGTCAGACGATCCGAGAATCTACTGGCAAGTGTAGCTACAGCACAGTTAGTGATTTTGTGGGTGTTGGACTTGGGTGCCCTAAACCCTAAACCCTAAACACTAGAGTCCCCTGAGCCCCAGGTCTCTCGAGAGAAATAGGCTCCCTCTGAATCTTCAGTGGGAGTTATGAATCTAGACCCCTGCTAAAGGCACCTTCTGTTTTAAGGGTTTAGGGTTTAGGGTTATTAACATAGACCCCTGCTTAAGGCACCGTTCGTTTTAAGGGCGTTGGTTTTCACATCCCCGTTGCAAGCTTGCTAAAGGGAGCTTTTACCCTCAAGCCTAAACCGCAAACACTACACCCCAAGCCTTGAACCCTAAACCCTTAAACCCTAAACCCTTAAACCCTTAAGCCGCAAAGCCCTAAACCTTAGACAACCCTGGTCCACTCCGAACCCTGGAGGTCTCTTGGTTGCAGTCTGCAGAGCTCGGTTTGGGTTTTAGGGTTGAGGGTTTAGGGCCCCTAAACCCTAAACCCCTAAACCTTAAACCCTTAAACCCTAAACCACTAAACCCCTTACCTTTAGGGCCTTAGGGCCTGAGGGTTAAAGGTCCCAAAAAAGTGTAGGGTTTCAGTTTACGGCTTAGAGCACTAATGTAGGGGCCTTAATAATTAGAACTGGGTTTTGGGGTATAATATGCCCCAAAACGTCTTCTAATTATTGAGGCCCCTATATTAGAGTCCCTTGAGACCCTCAGCACTAAAACCCCTAAACGCTGAGCCCAAAGCTTTATGCCAAAACCGTATTCATATGCCTTGACAGGACACTGCACACAAATTCAATCTCACACCCTCAACCTTGAAGCCCAAAACACCAACACACCATGAATAACAGCTCGAGTCCCTGCACCCCTAAACCGCCTAAATGCTTGGCTCTCGTCGATAGGCCACACTGTACGAAGCATTCAGTTCAGCTGGCAACGTTGCGTCCGGTGCTCAGTTTCGCTAAAGGCTTTCCGCATTGCCCAATTTCGGCGTCAGGGCAGCCGCTAGAAACCCAAACAGCAGTAATTGCCGGCACCCTTGTAGACAGGACCTCAAAAAGGGACCCGAATTTAGAGAACTACGCAAATGTCGCAGTCTCAGACGCTGTGTTGGTGATGAGGACGATGAAGACGAACATGATGAAGATGAGAATGATGGTGACGGCGATGATGATGGTGATGATGATTTTGACGAGGATGGTAATGCGGAGGAGGATGAAAGTAGGGATGATGGTGATGATGACGATGATGATGATAATGATAATGATGATCTGGATGAGGATGCCGCAGATGACGAAGGCCCACGCTTGAAATTCCCTAAACCCTACACCTTGATCGAGCCCTCAGCCCTAAACAGCCCCAAACCCTAAACCCTGAACCCTGAACCCTAAACCCTAAACCCGGAACCCTAAACCCTAAATCTTGAACCCTAAACCTTGAACCCTAAACCCTTATCCCTGAACCCTAAACCCTAAACCCTGAACCCTGAACCCTAAACCCTCAACCCTCAACCCTCAACCCTAAACCCCAAACCCAGCCCTCAAGCCCGACCCT